TTATACAAAACATCTAAATCCACTAATTATGAATATAGGATATTATGTTGTCATCAGGCATCATCATCACACGGGTAGTTCTCATCGTTATCGGGCAAAAAAGAATAACTTTGTTGATGTTATCGACTTTCAAACACTTTGCACTCTATTATCGTTGCTGGAATTGATTAAAGGGTAGTGCCAAAGTGCCAATCGTTTCCAGGCGTGAATTTCGAGTCGACACATTTTGAATAGGATTGAAGAAGAGCTACACTTGTATTTTGTAATAATAATAGGTCAGGCCACTTGTTACAAGTGAACACATTACTTAATTGTTGTTTAAAAGTTTTGCCAGACTACTGGTAGATAAAAATATATATTAGAAGTATTCACCCTACTTCGTTAATGTGATGAAGGTATGGTTGCTCATTGTTAATGGTTAGCATATCGCGATAATATTTCGCTGATAAGGCCAAGACGATATCAAAATTTCACTCCATTCTGTATAAGACACTGTTGGGAAGCAAGGCTTTGAAATTCGTTCGAAATTAAAACCCTATTCATATCGTTATTGAAAATTTAACTATCATCCTCCTTCACGCTGAACCAAATACCTCTTGAATATATGAACCCGAAAAATAAAATAACATTGTTTATCAAACCGGTCAAAACATAATCGGAAATTATTCGCATTTCTGGCTTCTAGGTAAATCTCATATCATAAGCAACCAGTTAAGTCTAGAGACGATAATTGTAAATGCTTCAAATGAAAACAATGGAAAGGTGCTGATCTGATTTACATTTAGTAAGATTGAGTTGAAGAGATTCGTAGATCGATCTTAACGATATACGAATTCGCATCGCCCTTCGTCTGCTGTCTTCTGGTTTAAAGATGTAGTTCAGGCTAACGCAATTCTAAGTCACATTTAATCTCTTATTCCTAAACAAAACCTCCACGCTAAACTTTCGTTCAGCATAAGTTAGGGTTGGCATTGCCATATCACGAAATCGCTGGTGTCTATCTAGTGTGTTAGTTAAAAAAATCACATTCCGCTTTTTTTATGCACGTCATGAGACAAAATTTTAAAACATCTTCATTTAAATCGAGAGATTTCGTATTTGAAAATGCCAAACAGAAAGCTTTAATGATACCCAATGACAACTGTTCAAGAGGAATCTTCTGTATTGCTCTGATGGGCTCGACATTCGAATATTTTGATCATACACATTCTTACGACATGGAATTGAGCTCCACTATTCTCGAAATTTCCTTTCATATAAATTTAGTGGCTGTTGTCCGAGTCAAATATATATCAGACCATTACCAAGAACTTTTTCAGAGTAACTTTCGCATTAACTTGGCATCGATGGGGAAATTGAGAGTACTTTATCGTCGCCCCAAACGATAGATTATCTCTTAAAATGCTTAAAAAAACAAGGCTGCTCAATATTGACAAGGAAATAGGTCGTTATAATAGGCAAGACAAAGGTAGCTGTGAAAATGATGGTCTACGAAGAATTTCTGTAATACCCAGATGCTCTCATAAATATATGTAAAGTACAAACTTTTGCGCCTATATTTTGGCGATACAGGTGGTTTAGTCATCTAGAACGCCAGCTAGGCTTAGGCAAGAGGGCATAGTCATAGCTTCAAACAGAGACCGGCAGACGGACGAAGAGGTGAGTCGCGAGTACGAAGGTAGATTCAGACAATAGGGTTTTGCTAGGCAGGCAAACATAAACTCCCAAAGATCTGTCATCGTCCGAATGAGTGGATTAAAGCAGGCCCTAAAATACCCTGACCCTAGCACTAACTTACAAAAGCCTAGCCACCATAGACTTATAGACAGGCGGCATCCAAATCAACATAAGTCAGTCGTAGGTACGACATCTGCATATAAAGAGACCCAGTCATAGGCAATCGTGAAGATAGTAGCAGTAGGAGCAGCGGTAGCCAAGACAAGCCCACCTATGGTTTGGCCATTCAAGGCAGGGCCTGTGATGAATAAGCGAAATCGGCTGGTTGAGATTGGAACGTAAGAAAAGAGACAACAGCGAGAGTAGGGAACAGGCGAAGGAAAAGGAAAGAGAGAACGAAAGGCATTTGAAGATGGCAATGTCGACGTGGTCTAGTCATGCAGCTAACCGCCTCTAACCCCCTGACCTAGCCGGGTAGACCACTATGACCCTTGACCTAAGTTGGTGATTGGCTAGTTCTGGAGCGACACCGGCTTAAATAAAGTTAGAATGCATAGCCTTGGGTACAGCGAGACTCAGAGAAATGCAAGGATAGATAGTGAGAGAGTGAGAGAATGAGTAAGAAAGAAAACTTGGATGGATTGATTACGTAACCATATATTAGAAGATTACAAGCACGGACTCGGCCGGCCGAGTTAAGATGGTTTCGAATGGACAAGGGACGCGCGAGCGCGAGAGATATATACAAAGAGATGTAACACTGGAGCAGCCAACACGGAAAGAGCGAGAGATTAGAATGAGGTCACAAGTGCGTGTTGTATAGCAAGAACAAGCCAAGTTGTTCCATATGTGTACGAGAGAGAGAGAGATGAGGGAGAGAGAAGGCCAAGGAGGTAAGGCAGACCTCCATTCATTGCTAGAAGAGCCACTCTGAATATAGGCATGCAGTTCACTTTGGCATCCATTTAAAATTCATTCTGCCCTTTGCGTCTTTTCTCACTGGTCGCTTCCCAGCCGTCTCCTCTCACAAATCTCTTCTCGACGATTTCACCATTCAAAGATATTTTCTCAGGTAACTCAAATTCCAGCTTTTATAGTTATCTATAATTCTTTATAATAAAATAACAGGAATCTTATTGAGGGCGTTTTAACGATGGCGCTTTTATTGTCCACTCCGAGTGCAATCTTGCAGAAAACTCGCACACTTCGGAGGACATTAAAGTTGCCTACGGCACACGCTCAAAACTTCATGAATTTGGTTTATAAAATCTTTATTTAAATTCTATACATGTTTTCTTTTCTTTGCTTTTCTGTTCTCTATGCTTCCTGACTGCTTCTCTTGATCTTAAATTTAAATGAAATTAGATACGCTTTAATGAGATATATAAGTTATTATACCTTACCAGATATTAGAAAAGTTCGGTCCCATCTGACGCGGTCTTCCACGAAACTTTGAAGAGCCATAGCGCTGTGCACATATCTACCGTAGAAATTGTTCCGCAGACGCAATTCGTTCTTCGCCATTGTAGACGCCATTTCAACTCGCAGATGTCTCAAAGATCCTGTGTCGCATATCCATTTCCAAATAGCTTCAACAATCCGACTTCCTTCTTTATAACATCCCAAGCCCGGCAAATGATCCTGAAGTTAGAAAACATGTAAACATACAAACCATTGCATTCCCTACAATGAAATGACTTACGTTTAACATCTTGTATATCCTCAGTTTTCTCTCTACGGGCACATTTGGTGATAAAATAGCCTTCTCTAATACCCTGTTGAGATATCTGTCTTTTGCCCACTTGAGTATTCTCTCCACCGGCAGAAAACTCAGTGATGCTGCCAAATGGATTGGTCGGCTTATCGAAAAGTCCAACAGCTTCTCAGCTAGTAGGCACCCTGGAAGTGTAGCTTCTGGCCACACCTGTTTGCTTGCATCTTCGCAAGTTTCATTTTCACTGCGTAGTTTGCCCTTCTCCTTTAGGGCCACAACACAACGAATCAATTGATCCCGATTCCCCTTAGAGTACTCGCAGTTAAGCGCCTTTTCTATGTTCTGAAATGAAAATTCATATTGTATTAGGTTTATATTCTAGATGTTTTCAAACTAATTTATTGCGCCCTACTTTTTAATTTGACACGTCCTAGCAAATCATTTTCAGTTTGGGAGAGTTGAATAGATTAATAGAAATGAGAAAATTGATGTCCATTTAGATAATTGAGTCGTAATTGTATATGGGAATACCCTTAACTCCCGTGACTGCCTTTGCGGCTAGTTGAATTCATATTGAAATTTCTTCTATTAGGCTAATAAAACGAACACGAATTAACGTTGTTTGAATAGATCGTCGATATTACAACGTTCTAACTTGGTAGCAAACTTTCAATCCACTTTATGAAAGAATATCAGCTTAACCCTACTGCTTTACATATTTTAATTTAAAGTAAATACTAATGGATTTTAGCCACGTTGAACGAACGATTAATATCCACCAAGTGGCAAGCAATTATAGACAATGGAAATTCCAGTTAGGACTATACCGTAGTAACTGCGTAGACAGTCCTGTAAAAAATGACCTAATTGATGACATTTTGATTGCCTATCCTAAATAGACACCAAGATAGTGTTGAATAGGGTGAAACAAGTTTGCATAATATTTTTTCAATCAATGATGCCAGATTGCATTAGAAAAAAAACTAATTTCCTTCGTTCTCTTTTGGCTTGCCTTCAGAAAAAGTATCTGTATCGCCTCGTCCATACTAGCCTGAGAAGCACACGCCAGTGCATTGACAACGCTGTGTTGCCCATTGATAAACACCAACTTGAGGCCCATTACAGACTCCTCGTTAACACATCCGCTGTCACAGGGTAACATGGCTGCAGTAGTGGTAACTAAAGAAACGGGTGGGCAAACTTCCATTGAAAACATTCGGAGTACGGTGGCAAGGTCAGGCTTGTGTAACCGCAAAATGACAGCTCGCACGACTCGGCTGGCATAAGGATGAGCAGCCATGTAGATGAATCGCAGCGCAACTTCTCTAAACAGGGGATCGTCAGAATTCATCTTTTCTAGTCGCCGGTTGATTTTCTGAGGCTCTGAATCTCCGGATGGTTGTGCAGGTAGACCAAGAAGAATGTTCTTGAAGAATACCTTAAACAGGCATGGGGGCAGGACATTGACCAAAGCCTCAGTAAGAAACACTGCGACCGGATGGGAAATTCCAACTGGAAAATGGCTAAAGAATCGGCAGTTCATGGTTCAGTTAAAGA